TATGTTCCTCAGAGTTGTTGCTACTAAAGTGCCATCTTCCCATCACTGTTGATGGTGGCTGTGGTGGCGCAGGAGTGTGTGCAGAGAGCAGAGCAGTCGGTGAAGTAGAGTGGCGCCCGCCTGTGGGAGCCGGCATCCCTTGCCTGTGTGACAGATGAGCCTGAAGCACAGATTGAGTACTTTACTTAGAGTCATACAGGTCATGAGAGGTGGGGGGATTTTCAGACAAGGTCTATTTCTAAAACCCATAATCTAAACTAGGTTGCTTTTCTGATTGATAAACAGACCTTTATGCAGTGTTGTAAGCTGAGTGCTGGAGAATTGCAGGTGTTAAGCTAAAACTGAAATAAACTCACCTACCTTACTGTTGGGGCCATCAGAGCTGAAGGGATGGTCTTTGTTTGATGATAGCAGAGGCACTAAGGCTGTAGGAAGGAGCAGTATGCTGCTGTCCTGGAGGTGAAGGGGAACATTCATGCCTGATGTGTTTGAGGGATCACCGGTACTTCCTTTTCATATTGAGGACTTTGTTTTTCTCCTAAGAGCATCAGAGGATCACTAAAGTGTTTTAAGCAGGATTGTGAAACTGGATTTTCATTTCAGAAGACTTCCTCAGACTCCTGTGTAAAGATTGTGGTATGTGTAAGTATGGTGTGCAGGAGCCTTGTCAGAGTTCCTCGCATAAGGCCAGAAATGTGGTAGTTTGTCCTAGGGTAATGGCAGGAGAGAAAGCGAGAAGCCAGTCAATCCAAGGGAAATTGATAATAGAGAATTGTGAGGCCTCGATGACTGGTGTACAGATTGCGAGCAAGAGTGGAGTCCAGGTTCTCACCCTGTATCTAGCACAGGGTGTCACTCGGGGGACATAGGAAACGAAACAGGGTCAGACACTAAGGAAAATGGATCTGCCTCTTGGGAGGCCTTGGTTTGACCCAGAGAGGCCAAGTAGAAGTGGTTATCTTCAGCTAGATAGGCAGGGCTGAGGCTCAGTTTTGCTGTTGCTTAGGACATCAGTTATGTAGACAAAGGGAAATCAACCCTGGGGGGGTGGAGTGGAAATCACCCTGTGGGGAAGGAGTGGGCTTGGCATCTGAGGGACATCAGCAGTGTTGTGACCACCCAGGTAGCAGTCAAAATAAAAAACAAGGTGTGAGTAAGGAGGAGTGCTAAGTGGTGTTAATTGATTAATTGCTGCTGAGAGGTGAAGTGGTGGTGGGGTGTGTCATTTGGGTATCCTTGGAAGTTAGCAACTTGTCACATTTCTGGTGAGAACAAGCAGGTCATGAAGTGATGGGGCATGAGCTTTACCGTTTTTTTTTTTTGGTTCAGGAGAGAGTAAAACTGAGAAAATGAAAAACTGAAAGTATGTTTAGCAGTCCCTTTGTATTTTATTTAATACCTTGTGACATAGGTTGTGAAATGAATGTTTAGAAACTTAAAAATATGCTGGTAGACTACATAGTCACCAAGGTACAAGAAAACCAGGACATAAGACAAAGATGGTGACAAATGGATACCCGGGTAGCATATTACCACAAAAAGTAAAATTCTGGGAAATATTGTTAACACTAGTATTGGTTATCTGTGTGTGTGTGTGTGTGGGGGGGACTTCCTTCTGTATTTGTGTTTTGCAGAGACCACAATTTTTGTAACTACAGAGTTATGGAGTCTTTGTTTCATTTCTTAAAGCAGTTGGTAGGGTCTTGAAGACGACTATTGAAATGCCTAGGAGGAGGGGAAACATTGAAGGTACAAGAAGAGGAAAGTGGATGGAGCTAGTCAAGAGAAGGAGGGAAAGCCTGGCATCCAGGGTGTTTGTGGAGGGATGAACTTTGGGAGTAAGGGAGAGATGGTTGCAGGTCTAAGTAAGTTTGTAGCTATTTTGCAGAATGAGATAAGAGGTTTTCTGCACAGAATGAGGGAATAAAGGAGGTGGTGTGAAAAGTTCGGAGAAGAGCAGTGTTGGGAGTTCAGAATCTGAATGTAGATAGACATTTGCCTGTGGTTTAACCCAGAATAGCTTTGGAGCCAGGTCAAGTGTTTAACCCAAGGAGGAACAGCATTTTTTTCAAGCATGGCCAAGCAGGTAGTGGAGGAAGGAAAAGGGTGCCTTGCAGTCAGTGGGACGGGTTGGCCATGTGGCAAGGGCAGTTCTCCCAAAGGACCATGTTTCCTTTGAGTCAGAAGGTAGTGAGAACATTAGTGACTTTGGGGAGATGTTCTGGAGGATACAGTGGAAAAATTTGAAGGGACGAAAAGCAGAAGGGGCGGTTAGATCAGGGAAGAGAAATTAGTTGTATGTAGATGAGATTATAGGGTTTCTAACTTTACAGGGAGAAGTTTGTCTTGGACCAGAGTTTGGCAGACACCAAGAGTGTGAGGCACTGTGGCAGCCACATAGTGGCCAGTTGGCTAGGAACTTCCTTTGGGATCCACTCTGTGGTCACAGTGCTGGTGGCCTCTCTGATAGGCGGGTGCAGATAGCTTGATGTGGGACTTTACTCTTACCTCACAAGCACATAGTCAGACCTGTTCTGTGACTTCACAGTGTATGTTTTCTGTCTCTCTTTGTCCAGACTTTACTCCCCAAGACTCAGCTGATCATCTATGAGATCATGTATATGGGATGTAAAAGAAGTAAAAAATTCTAGGGTAGGGCCAGATAGAATGTAGGATTGTTACCGCCTGTGACTTGTATCTTTAAATGATAAGCCTCACATAACTAATAATCTGCTTTTCAGGAAGGGCCTTCGTGTAAGAATCTTATATCCCCACCACTTACGGAAACACAAAGCATATCATCCTTTGCTTAGGTTTTGGGTCTGGTCTGCCTTCCTGAGGACCTCTTTCTTGGTTATTGCCTTTCCTTGCTCACTCATCTCCTTCCCTTCTAATGGGTCATTTCCACCAGTGGTGGGAATATTCTTTATTTTTTTAAAAAAAGATTTATTTATTCATACATACAAGAATTGGGGTACAGGGCAGAGGACTCACCAGAGACAGTGGGGAGCAGAACAGGCAGATCGAGTGAAATATACTGCTGAGGGGAGCAGAGGGTAGGGTCAACTCCCTGACTGGGATCGAACTCATGCTGCAGTGGCTGTGGCTAGCTTCATAGTGCTGCTCTCAACCCACTGTGCCACCAGGGAGGGCCAGGAATATTCTTAATAGCTCCCATCTTTAAAAACAAAAAAACCTTGTTCTATCAACTTTTTTTCTCTTGCTTATCCATTGTTTTCTGTTCCTTTTCAGGGCAAAATGTAACCTAGAGCCACCTTTATGCCCTCCTCTTGCTTGCTCTTCCAATTGCTATTGCTCTAGTCTGTATTTCATCCCTGTCACCCCCGAAAGTGCTTTTTGAGGACACCAAGGAATCTCTGTTGTCAAATCCTGGTAAATATTTGGTCACCTTATTCTACTTTTTATACTCTCTGTAGTTAGTCACTTCTTGAAACACTTTTCTCAGCTTCTGTGACACCTTTGTTTGGTGTTATCGTACCATCCCTTCTCCATCTCTTCAGTCATTATTCCTTATCTGGACCCTCTGTGGGTCTGCCACAGTGGTCAGTCCAGTCTCTAGTCCTGTCTTTTTCTTTCCAATTTGTAAGTGTGGGGATCCTCACACTTCTTTGAATATTATTTATATGCTCAGGACTCCAGACCTCTCCCCTAAGTTTGGGGCTTTGTATATCTTACTGTGCTTGGTGTTACATGTGGATGCTTGACTTTGCAAGCTTCTTACACTGAGCATTTGAGAGCAGGACATTAGCTGCACACACCTCCTTACGCCTGCCCCCGCTCATTCTCCTTCCCTGCTCCCCCCCCGCCCATTCCTAATCCTTACATTATAGTATGTGGTACCATTTGCTTTACTCAGAAACTTAGCTGTTATCCTTATTTCTCCTTCATTCCCATTTTAACACCAAGTTTGTTGGCAAGTAAGTGCTGCCAGTTCTGCTTCTAAAACATCTCGTCTTTCTCCATCTCCGCTGCCCCTGGGACATCCCCTTGGACTGCTGCAGTAGCCTCCTGGTTCATCTGTTTTCCCTCTCATTCTGCAATACACTCTCCACTGTGAAACCAGACTGACCTTGAAATAACTTACTAGATCATTTTATACTCCTACTTTAGTACTTTTCTTTGCACTTAGAATAAAATTCCAACTCAGGCCCTCACTGGTGGTGCAGTGGGTTGCAGTGCAGCACCATGAAGCTTGCCACAGCCGCTTCAGCACAGGTTCGATCCCTGCCTGCCCAGGCGGTGACCCACATGGCGCGGCAGATCTCTCCTGACCCGCCCGCTGCTCCCCTTAGCAGTGTACTCCGTCCATTTGCCTGTTCTGCTCCCCTCTCTGTCTCTGGTGAATCCTCTCACTGCCTCTGCATCTCTGACCTGTACCCCAGGACAGTATGAATAAATAAACAAATCTAAAAAAAAATTTTGAATTTAAAAAAGAATAGAATCCTAGCTCCTTGTGATGGCATCCAAAGACTGTGTGTAACTGAATTCTCTGAACGTTGACTGAGGTCCTCTCCCCTGTTGCCCACGCTGTGGGCATGCTGACCTCTTTGTTCTTGAACTCACTGAGGGCTTCCTTCAGGGCCTTGCACATGACCTTTCCTCTGTGTGGACCATTCATAGCTGGTTCCTTTCAACCCTCTGGTTTCTTCAGATGTCACCTTTTCCCCAACTGTCATATTTTAAATGTGCCTCTAGTTACTCCATCACATTAGCCTTATTTTCTTGTTTATCTGTGTATTGGCTGCCTTTCCACCATATTTATTTGCACCCCCTTTTCCCTCCGCCCACACCTCTCAGATCTTAGTTGAACAGAGGCAGGGACCTGCTCATTCTTGTTCATTGGTGTATCTACACCTAACTGTCTAGAGCTTGGAGTCCCTTAAATATTTGCTGAATCTTAAATATTACTGTTACTCCTCTCATTAATCCTATCCACTAAGTACAATGGAGTAAATGTTTGGGTTTCTGCCTAGCTGGAATTCTTCAGATCACCTTCTGAGCTGAGAACATATCTCCTAGCTGCTGACAGACGTGATGATTTACTGGTTGCTGTCAGTTGTCCGAAGACAAAGAACCAGCCGAGGATGGCAGAAGTGGTCCTTGGCAAGAAGCAGTTCAACAGCTGCCGAGGCACATCCTGTGGCCCTGCCTGCCCAGGCACAGGTAGTCATCTGTGGCGGTGGAGTCATGGGCACCTCCGTGGCCTATCACCTCTCTAAGATGGGGTGGAAGGATATCATCCTGTTGGAGCAGGGCAGGTAAGGACTGCACTGATGGGGTTTGCACCTGTGCTACCCTCACTGCCTGGGGTCCTGTCTCCCTTTGGTACTGGTGTCCCCCCAACAGTTCATCTAAGGGTGGCTAGCATGAGAAGAATCATGGAAAATGAAGTCCCCTGTACTTTGTCTGGCAATGCCTAATCCTCATATTTTCTGATTTTTTTGAGTCATCAGATCACAACAAAGCAGGTATCTAAAAGGATGTATTTTATTCTACACTCACAGCACCTCTTATCTTGCTCTGCTCTACTCATATGGCAGCATAAATCTTGTGATCTATGAGCTTCCTCTGTGAGCCCAAATGAAACTGGCTACTTATTGCCTTGTAACTTGTTTAATTTTACAACAGTTTTAGATTTACAGGAAGATAGTACAGAGTTCTCATTCATCTCATATGCTCTCCTGTTACAAACAGCTTACACAGACACAGTCTAGGTGAACTCCAGAATTCTGAATTAGAATTCTGAATTAGACTCATGTTGATGTACATTTTGGTTTATTTCCATCATCTGATATTACAAAATGCTGTAATGAGGAACCGTGAACTTGTTGCATTCACATAACTATATGAGCCTACCAAATGGTATTTTGTGTTCATCCTGCAGGCTGGCTGCTGGCTCTACGAGGTTTTGTGCTGGCATCCTGAGCACTGCTAGGCATGTGACCATCGAGCAAAAGATGGCAGACTATTCAAACAAACTCTATCAGCAGTTAGAGCAAGAAACCGGGATCCAAACAGGTAAGCAGGTAATCTACCACTTACTAACTAGTCTGCTTGTCCCCCAGATTCTTTTTTTTTTTTAATTATTTTTTATTTTAATTATTCCCCCAGATTCTTTTACTTGGTATTGTTTTTAGTGCTCTATCAAGTTTGGTAATTAAGACTTGATTTTTGTATAGACACTCCACTAGTTAGAATATTTCCTAAGACAGGTCACTTAGGTTTATGAGCTGTCTTCAGTTTCCTTATTTATAAAATGAGGGGATTCAGTCAGTAATCTAGATCCTGTAATTCTTATGATTTGAAAGCTTTCCTGGGCCAGTTCCCATATATTTCAATCATGTGAGTATTGTAAGTGGCATACTTGATTTATAAATGAAGAGGAGAAGAAAGAACTTCTATTTGGGTGCTTCATAGTAAAATCATAGTTTGAGCCACTGAAATTCACCAATTGCTATTATATATTTCTGATAAGAAAACATAAACACGTATTTCTCCTTCTCTGTGTAGCTAGGGGGAAAGGACACAGGTTGTATGCTAAATAGTCCTGGAGTAACTAGAAACTCTTCTAAGAACAGGAAGGCTAATCTACATTATGATCCCATGTGATAACAAGGTAGAAGAATATTTGTCATAAGGTTATAAGTTGACAGAAGCCCAGAGTTGTATCTAGATTCATGGCTGAAGAAACCGTGAAATTATGTGGTGACAAGGTAGTTATAATGAGAGGGCAGCAGGGCCCAGTGATGAAATTCAGGTCGCTTACATGTGTGAAGGTTGCATCTTCGAAGACCTTACATAATTATGATCACAGATAATTCAAGATGAATATGACCAAGGATAGTAGCTTTAAGTTTGCCAACTAGAGTAATGGTGCCATGTGGCCTTAGTTTAAGAACAGTTTATGGTTTTCTTTACCTATCAACTAAGAAATTACATAACATTACAATTTTAGAGAAGATGAGATTAGAATTGTTTGAAAATTTGGCCCCAAGCAGGCCAAGTTTATAATGTAACCATTTCATAAAATTCAAAATTCTATAAAGTGTAACCTTACTTGTACATTTTATTTATTTATTTATTTTATTTTTTAAAGATTTTATTGTGCATACAGAACTGGGTGCAGGCAAGAGGCTCAGGGGCGGTGAGAGGCTTCACCAGAGACAGAGTGGGGAACAGAACAGGCAGATCGACGAAGTACACTGCTGAGGGGAGCAGCGGGCGGTCAGGAGAGGTCTGCCGCGCCATGTGGTCACCTCCGGGGTAGGCAGGAATCGAACTCATGCCGAAGCAGCTTTAGATTCTCAGTGCTGTGTTTTAACCCGCTGCGCCACTAGGGAGGGCCCCTTACTTGTACATTTTAAATGAAGATTGAATATTAAGCAACTAGGGTTTGACAGACCTGGAGTGGGGAGAGGGGCTGTCAGGAGCAGAATTTGAGGCAGTGAGGAAGGGGATGCATAGTCCTGGGTACATAATGCAGGCTGAGACTGGAGTGAACACCCAAGCTTCTAGGCTGACCCTGCAGAGGCACAAGGCTGAGAGTAAGTGCCTCCCTCAACACTGTGCCCACCCTGGTGCTTCATTGTCTCACCTGGGTCCCCACCAGGTCTGTAAACTTGATTGCTCATAGTGATGCTGAACTTGGCTAGGCTTCCTTTTGAGAGGCAAGTAAAAAGCCTCTCTTGCTGCTGCACTCTCTCTGGCTTATACTAGGGAAGGTGCCTGTCTCATACTAGGGGAGCTGGGAAGAAGCCCTTTGATTGGATTGCAGCCTTGCTGTTCACCAGGGTTTGAGTGAGAAGAGGGTCCACATACTGTACAGGGAGGAAACTGCTGACTCCTCTTTCCACTGGATCAATTACTTGGATCTCTCAGCTGGTTGGATTCCAGAAGTATCCAGATCATAGGCTTTTTCTTTTTGTTTTTATGCATATAGAACTGGGTACAGGTCAGAGGTGCAGGGACAGTGAGAGGATTCACCAGAGACAGAGTGGGGAGCAGAACTAGCAAATCTACAAAGTACACTGCCAAGGGGAGCAGCGGGCAGGTCAGGAGAGGTCTGCTGCACCATGAGGGTCACCTCCCACCTCTGGGGCATGGTTCGAACTTGCACTGAAGTGGCTGCGGCTAACTTGCAGTGCTGTGTCCTAACCTGTAGCACCACCAGGGAGGGCCCAGAACATAGGCTTTTCTCCTATAAGTTAGCCTAACTTTAGTCCTAGTTCACTGTCTGGAACCCTTATTTGAGCTGACTGCTCATTGATGTTAATGGGGCAATGCGGCCATCAGGCAAAGGAGTATAAAGGGATCACCCTTTGTCTGCCCCCGCCCCCCACTGTATTTCATCAGTGATGTGGTGAAAGGTGACATCAGGACATCCCTGATGCAGAACACTCTTATCTAGCAGGATAAGAATATGTGTGTGCATTACCACCAGGACTGTCATTCAGTAGACTACTTTTGAGTATTTCAATGTTAGTGAGTCAAATCTTTTAAAAGTTTTAAGCATTCATAATAATTTACATATTCATAATAATTGTGAATAATAGAGAAATATTAAAAAATGAATTTCCTCCCAACTGAACCCACCAGTCTGTTTAATATGTACCTTATTAGGCACTTTGTGTAAGTGTGTGTAACAGGCAAATCTTTTTAGTCAAAATGAGATAGCAATAACCATGATACTAATTACCAACCTCACTCAAGAGCCATAGAATCAGGATCTTGGGGGTGAGGCCTAGCACAGGCAATTTTTGAAATCTTCCCATGTGATTTTGTGTGCAGACAGGTTTGTGTGAGAACCACTAACCTACATATAATTGAAATTTATTCAGATGTCGTATTCTTCATTTCCATGGCTGTTCTCCTACTGACCACAAACCTGTTGGCTTATATTTTCAGAGAACATTACTGCATTTTGTTAGTACTGTTGAGCAATTTATGTGCTTTTTTTGTGCCATCTTTTGTTAATTCTTTATGTTACATGCGCATTTCTTGTTTCTTCAAATACAGTAACGTTTTCCATAGTGGCTCAGTAAACATGTAGTACAGACTGCTCTGAGAACCAGCAAATAAAGCGGCCCTTCCGTCACTGACTGCTGCTGAGCGCTGCTTCTCAGCGTGCACGCTGTGGTCTCTCCAGCCTGTGCTCCATAACACTCATGGGTTTCCTTTATTTTCTTTATGAATGATTCAGTGAAGATCCTTGTCTGTATGTCTATTTCTTTTGCTCTTTCTAAGGATAGCCTTCCAGAAAATAGGCAATCTGGGCAAGGGTGTGAATACATAAAACTTGGATAGAAACTTTGGTGGACTGCCAAGTCATCCTCCAAATGGGCTGTGCCCTCTCACATCAGCACATACGGGAATTTCTTTAGTCTCCTCAGCATGAGGTGTTCTAATTTGTGCTAATCCAATGGGAAAAAAAGTGGATTCTCATTTGCATTTCTTTTAGTTCAACATTATTTCATTGGTTTACTGGCTATTTATAGTCTTTGAATTGCCTTTTAATAGTTTATATCCACCTTTCATTAGTTTGTAAGCATTCTATTTTATGGCATTTAACCTCTGCTTGACAAATTGTGCCAGGATTTCTAATTAAAAGTTCTCTGGAAGACAGTGAAATTTTCATCTTTCTAATAGATTGTAACTGTTACATAGTTCTGTTTTGGGGTACATGATTTACATAGTATATTTATACATAGTATAACATGACATATTACACAGATTAAGAAATGGGTATTCGCTGATGTGTAATCTTTGCTAGTAAGAAGAAAACGAAAGCGCTCATCCCTGTGGTAACAGGACGTGCAGAGTGTGCACGTCAGCCCATGGGTCACTGGTCAAGACCACCCCTCTTGGCTGGTGCACCAGCTCTTACAAATTGTGCTCTGAATTTTTAGTTCTCTCAATTGGGAAAGTCTTGTCAGGTCAAGTGAAAGACAGACTTTTCTGATGATTTCAAAAGAAATTAATATTTAAATTATTTCCACTGTATTTCCTTTAAAAAATATACCTAGTGGATTCAGCTTTTTTTTTTTTTTTCCCCACTAGAACTCAGAACCATTGCATTTTAGGAGGGTTGTCACTGACATGTGTAGTAATGCTTGTATCAGATATGCTGATTACAGACAGACATTGATTCTGGCTAACTTGGGCAAAGAGGAGAGTTTGGGAGGTGTTTGGAGGCTTGTAGTTGGTAGAAGGCTTCTTGCTCGAGGTAATGTGGATGTTGTGGAGATTTCAGGGAAGACTGGAGGGTTCCCAGATTGTGGGATTCTTCAGCTGGGACAACAGTTGTCTGACCAAGATGCTGGTGCTTCTTTTTTTTAATTTAAATTTTTTTCATCATTCTTCATTTTGTTCATTTTTCCATCTCAATTGTAATGCCAATGGATTTCCCACCACCAGTTCATCTGTGTGCCATCACCATAGTCCCGTGCACCTTTCCCACCCCATTTTTGGTCCCATTTCCCTATCTACCCCTGTAAAATGTCTCTGGTATGTAGTTGTTCGTTGTTTTTTCTTTATTACAATTGCTTTTTTTTTTTTTTTCCCTGATCCATTACACTCTTGCTATGAGCAAAACCATTTGGTATTTTTCTTTCTCTTTCTGCCTTATTTCACTAAGCATGATCTCTTCCAGCTCAATCCATGTTGCTGCAAAAGGTACATCTTTTTGATAGCTGAATAGTATTCCATTGTGTATATGTACCACATCTTTTTTAATCCAGTCATCTACTTTTGGGCATTTGGATTGACTCCATGTCTTCCCTATGTAAACAGAGGAACAATAAACATGGGGGTGCAGGTCTCCTTTTGAATCAATGTTTTTGTGTCCTTTGGGTAGATACCTAGGCGTGGGATTGGTGGGTCATATGGAAGCTCCATGTTTAGCAGTTTGAGAAACCTCCAAACAGCTTTCCATAATGGTTGTACTAGTTTGCATTCCCACAAGATGCTGGTGCTTCTGAGGTGCTTCCAGCTATTCACCTTCTTGCTTGAAAGTGTTCAAGGAATGTGCAATGGGCTGAGCTTCGGTCACATGTCCACTGCTTGTGCTGCAAGAGAGAGGGAGGGCCCCACCTATTGAGGGCTGGTGTGAGCCATCTTCACCCAGGGTCATACTCACACCAACACTGGGAGTAAGACTGAAACTACTAAAAAAGAGTGATGAATAGAGATGGATTCTGGGTTACATCCTTTCCCAAGAGACGAACAATGGTGTCTGTCATTTTTGAGTTATTTTATTACATAACATCTCACCAGAGCTTCAAAAGGCTGAGCTGAGAATGTATGGATAAGGAAGGGAAGCTAATAGTGCATCAGGCTTGCCTCCATGTTGACTAGCAGGTGAGAGGTAACTGATTTACCTCTCCAAGGGTGTAAGTGGCAGGCACAGGACTCATTGCAGGTCTGACTTTGAACTGAATGGGTCTACATTTGTCATGGTCTATATCAGCTCAAGCTGGCTTTTCTTACAGGTTACATACGGACAGGTTCCATCTTTCTGGCTCAAACACAGGACCGACTGATATCCCTGAAGCGCATCAACTCAAGGCTGAAGTACGTATGCACCTAGAAGCCTGTCCTGACTTTATTGTCACACTGACCTCTGCTGGAGGGGCAGTGAATGTCATTGTCCCCTGTGTTCTGTGGCAGTGTGATAGGCATCCCTTCTGAGATCATCTCCCCCAAGAAGGTGGCTGAACTTCACCCTCTCCTCAATGTACACGACCTGGTGGGGGCCATGCATGTTCCTGAGGATGCGGTAGTGTCCTCCGCCGACGTGGCTCTTGCCCTGGCAAGTGCTGCCTCCCAAAATGGTAAGCAGGTTTGTGGGCTAGGAAGGACGACTTAGTTTCCATTTTTAAACACTGGCTCTTAAAATTTTTGTTATAATATCTGTTAATAATTTCCTCAGGCCATATTTTTAGTAAACTTCTAAGGAACAGCTTTCAGTATTGACTGTTGCACTTCAGACCCCGCAGGAATTGAGAGCTCCAAGGTTGGAGCAGACATTGTGGATTTCATAATCCACAGCTCGATGGTGTCCTGGCGTTGGAAGGGATGAGGGGACGCCCAGCCAGCGACTCATGACTCACAGCCTGGGTAGATTAGGGTTAAGAGACCCTGTTCGAATGTGTTGGCCTCTACCACTTTTCTTATGCCTTGAGTTTAGTGTGTACTGCAGTCGTTTGTTAATTGGCCTGCTCTTTCCAGTCTCGGGAAAGGCCCATTTACAGTCTCAGAACATGGTTCTTATGAGTGGGTTGGTTTGTTTTAAGTTAAAGCATTGACCTGGCCTTTTCAGGTTTATAAGATTTATAAGAATCTGATGGGGATGGATAAACCTGAACCATCACAAGATGGATGTACCAAACTCTTTTCTTTACCTTGGAACAGGTGTTCAGATCTATGACCGGACAAGTGTCCTTCATGTAATGGTCAAAAAAGGTCAAGTCACTGGCGTGGAGACTGACAAAGGCCAGATTGAATGCCAGTATTTTGTCAACTGTGCTGGTCAGGTAGGTTAGTGACAATACTGGATCACTGATTTTCCTAACTTTCATCTTCAGGATTTTTTTGGTGTCGCTACATTAATACTGTGAAGGACTAAACAGATGTCAGGGACCACACTTTCTTGTTGGAACTAGAAAACTCAAGAACTTGAATATTCCAGAAACGTGGATGTTTCTCCAGTAGAAGTAACTGTGACCTTTTTCTTTTTCCCCCTGAGCTGACCTGTGCCATGTTGGTCAGGAAGGCTGGGAAGCAGTTCAGCATTGACAAAAGTCCTTGGCGTTGGGTCTGTCTGTGGTGTTCCATTTCATTCTACAACCCAGCAAATAAAGTGTCAGGTTCTTTTGTTTGAGGAGCTTGGATTCTGTGTCCACAACAGTTGCTTCTTAAGGCATGTTGGTCCCTTGCTTTTCCCTCTGAGATCTTTAAGTGACCAAGGAAAGCTTTTTGTCATGGGAAGTTCACTGATGATTGACGTTTGGGGTTTTTAGTGAGGCCAGGCAGTTTGTTAAAAGAGCCTCATTTGCTCCCCATGAGCTCCTTTTGCTTCCTGGTAATCTTTGATCTAAGAGTAATTGTTATGGTTTAAAAGTATAAAGTTGCTCCCCATTCACATCACTGAACTGAAGCAGGCTGACACTTGACTTCCTACACCTGACATTGTAGCAAGAGCACATTTGAGCCACTTGAAATTAGACTCTTTCCGAGGGGCTGAACTTGCTCATTTGTCTTTCTGTTCCTCTTCCCACCTACAAATAAATCTGTCCATTTGTAGTGGGCATACGAGCTGGGCCTGTCCAACGAGGAGCCGGTTAGTATCCCGCTACATGCCTGTGAACACTTCTACCTTCTGACTCGCCCCTTGGAGACCCCTCTGCAGAGCAACATGCCAAGTGAGGACTTGAACTTTGTTTTTAATCTTGTTTCCTTGCCATTATTCTGTCCTCGGAAAGAGAGACTTTCTGCTAAGGACAGACTGTGCATGAGTCTTACCTTTCTAGAGCCTACTACAGGAAGGTGCCCCCGAGTCTGACTTGATTTTGATAGCTCTTTGTGAAAGGATGGCCAGATGGGCATTCTGCCTAAGCATTGTTTTTATTTTCTAAGCCAATTATAGTGCCAGAGATCTAAATTGAGATGTTTGGAATGGAATCTTGAATTTTTTACTTAAATGGTATGTGCTGTAGAAATGGCATGGGTAAGTTATAAACCTAATTGTTCTGTGACTCCAAGCACCATGGGAGAGGTCTGCTCCTTAGCCCAGGCTCTGTAACTCCTGTTACACTCCCTTGTGGCACGGGGCTACTTGCATTTGGTTGCGAGAACTAGCTCCCAGTTTAGGTAGCTGATTTGCAAAAAGTAATCAGAGATGCGATCTCCACTTTAAATCTGAGAGAGAATCCTACTCCATTGACCTCAAATGGTATCTTAAAGCTAATTAATGTCTGTGTTCGTTGGATGCTTTTCATTAATTAAGCCATTAAGGGCAGGTTGCTTTATTTTTCTTTTGATTTAGACAGGTGACTTACCTCTGACCCGTTTTTCTCTCCTGTACACCACCCCTTTGTCATTTCTCTTCCCCAGCTATTGTGGATGCTGATGGAAGAATCTATATTCGAAACTGGCAGGGTGGTATCTTGTCTGGAGGTTTTGAGAAGAATCCAAAACCAATTTTCACTGAGGGCAAGAACCAGCTGGAGATTCAGAACCTACAGGAAGACTGGGATCACTTTGGTATGTGAACTAGATTATAACGGCAGTGGCTTGTTGTTGCCTAAGATGTTACATAAAAATTTGTACTGCCATATAGCATTATATTGGTCTTAGGTGTACAATATAATGATTTAATATTTGAATGCAGTGTCACCCACAGTAAGTCTAGTTACCACGTTACCATTCAAAGTTGACTGGCCGCTTTTAAGTGTGCTTTATAGCATTGGACTCTAGTTGACGTGCTGTGTATTACATCCTCATGACTTGTTTATAACTGGAAGCCACCTATTTTACTCATTCCCAACCCCCCTCCTTTCTGGCAACCACTATTAAGATAATGAATTTATTTTTTATTTTTTTATTTTTACATCATTTTGTACATTTTTTTTCATCTCAATTGTAATCCACCGCGGGTTTCCCATCACCAAGTCACCTGTGTGCCATCACCATAGTCCCGTGCACTTCCTTCCCCACCCCCCCGTTTTTTGATCCCATTCCCCACTCCACCCCCGCAAAATGTCTCTGGTATATGGTTGTTCATTATTCTTGTTATTTTCTCGCCTGGTCCATAGATAATGAATTTTTTAAAGCATTTTCAAAAGCAGTTTGTTATTTGATATTTATGTGAGCCCCATTAGTGGCTTGAGGGTGTAGATACTAATTAGCAATACAGTGAACTAACATCAAAAGTTTGGTTAACAGACTTTTAGCCTATTAAGCACTTAAAAATCATTGAAGTTTTTAGGTTAGGAGAAAACATTTTGGTAAGAAATCACATCAAATTGAAGAGAATTTTAGAAACCGAATTGCTAATCTGACCTTTTACTCAGTTTTTAAAAATTGTAAATTTTATTTATTGAATCCTTTAGTATAGTCACATGAATCCAAATTCAAAAGATATCAAAGGGTCTGTATGGAAGAATTTCCCTTGATAGATTTTTTTCTTAAATTTTTTACTATGGAAAATTTAAAGACTTAAAAGTGGAGAGAACAGTATAAAGAAATCCCCAAGTACCTACCAGCAGTTACATTAGAACAGGGCGAGCACTTGGAGTAGCTGTCATGCTCTTCCACCCTAGAGAAATAGCACCTTTCAGTGTCCCTGCGACGAGACTGAAGAGCCTTTGTGTGTGCTGGTAACACGAGTTATAGCTGCCGTGGGTCCCATTGCTCCTTTCCTTTCTAAGTTGTTTTTCTGGTCTTTATGCCAAGTACTGCAGAAGATTCTAACATTCCACAAAGGTTTCTGCTTTGTGATAAATGGCCCACTTGACCCATCTTAGAAAGCCTCTTTCAGGCCTCCCTGGTGGTACAAGGGATTAAGTCTCAGCCCTGTGAAGCTATAGGCAGCCACTGCAACACAAGTTCAATCCACGGCCAGGGAGCTGACCCACATGGCACAGCAGAACTCTCCTGTCTCGCCTGCTGCTCCCCTCAGCAGTGTACTTCATCATTCTGCCTGTTCTGCTCCCCTCTCTGTCTCTGGTGAATCTTTTCATCCTCCCCTTCCTCGCCACACCTCTGGCCTACACCCCAGCTCTTTTATGCATAGTTAAAATAAATCTTTAAAAGAGAAATCTCTTCTAAGAGGTTTTTGAAAGGAGAGGGTATAGAAAAGTATAAGGAGCTGTTTTGAGTGCCCTAAAGCTGAGGATTCTGTTTGGGTTTGTTTTTGCGTAGAGCCCCTCTTGAGTTCCCTCCTGCGTAGGATGCCAGAACTAGAGTCTCTGGAGATCATGAAGTTGGTGAATTGTCCTGAGACCTTCACGCCAGATATGAGGTGCATCATGGGCGAGTCTCCTTCAGTCCAGGGCTATTTTGTGCTGGCAGGAATGAACTCTGCTGGCCTTTCATTTGGTGGAGGAGCTGGAAAGTAAGTCTCACTGAGTCACTTGCTAGGCTTCTTTTCTAGAATTGTTAACATGGAATTTATTTTTTCTAGCATACTAACAGTAAGATTCATGTAATTTGAGAGTTGCCCATTTCAAAGTAATCATCACAGGACACGCTCCTGAAAGGCCAAAAATGTTGTGCAAAGTATCTCTGAAACTTTTTCGGAGTTAGCCACAGAGCCTGTGGGTGCTTCTTTTGTCCTCTTGTGAGTGATAATACGGGTCCTTTGAACTGAGTTTGGAAACATTCAAGTGTGATGAGTGAGACAGAGGATGCTGCTGAGTAATAACATTTATTTTTATAAATATGTACTGATGAAAATTAAGCCAGTCATGAGGGGACACATGCAGTGAGAGTGGTTCAGTTCATGGAGACAGATTGGTGGGTACACACTTGGCGGCTTTTGAAGGTGAAGGCTTTGGACCGTGGGATGATGGTTATATGATAATGAATATACTTAAGGCTTCTAAAATGTGCATGTAAATGTACTGATGTTTGATTTTGTTTGTGTATTTTATCACAATCAAACATTTTTTGACTAATGAGGCCACTTTTCATGACTTGAATCACTAAAAACACTTTGGAAGATGATTTACTAAAAACGTCAGGAGCAGGCAGACTTGCAGTCAAGTGACTGTGTAACCCGAAGTGATGGTTTTCCTGGAAAAATCCATTGGATACCCAAGTTGGAGTGCATTCGTCTATGTACTTAATTCTTATTTCTTCACAGAGCCATTGGTGGAGCCACATTTCTTTCCAAAAAGTTGAGGAAGTGGCCCAAAAACTATGTCTCTTAATTCTTGGTTTCTAATACAGTCCTGACAACATCACATCTGAGGCCCTACAACTGATCCCCTATCTCACCCCCGAATCTAAACAGGTACCTTGCTGAGTGGATGGTGCATGGTTACCCCTCAGAAAACGTCTGGGAATTGGATTTGAAGCGTTTCGGTGCCCTCCAGAGCAGTCGCACCTTTTTGCGCCACCGTGTCATGGAAGTCATGCGTAAGTGACCTTTTATCCCCAGTTACCCTAACTGCCTTCCTGGGGTGCCTCTATCCTGCAGAGCAGCAGAATTCCCCGCAGTTCTTTAGTCATTGCTTCAAGTTGGGCTTCTGTTGTTGGAGGTTGGAGGTCTTGGCTGGAGGCATCATGCCAGCCCGTGGTATTACAGACACTTCCTTCAAGCTGGTCATACCTTGTTTACTTCTGGGAAAAGAAAAGTAGGCCAGGACTAATAGGCCATAATTCCTGTCAGGTTGCCTTAGCGACTTCCCTCATATTCCTAGCAGTGCCTCCTTTCCACTTTGCTAGAAAGACCCTACTACACCAGAGTGAAAGTGCTCCACTGGGTCTTAGAAATCATAGTTTGTGCTCCAAGATAAGAGAATCTCTGCCATTCTCAGAGCTTTTGGCGTTAGCTCATCAGATGCTAGCAAGGCAAGAGGGCCCATCTCACATAGATGCAAAACATGCATTCCTGCTCCCTCCTTACTCTTGCTTCCTTCCACCTTTGAAAGATTGGCGTTTTTGCCTTTGTTATTCCACCTTTCTCTTACTGGCTTTGCCAGTAAGCCTTTAAAGATGGCGTTTGTGTCGGGAATTGAATCAAACCAGAATTCAGTTTCTTTTGCCTGCACTGAAGAGCTGTTACCAGACTTTGCCAAAATACATCTAAATATGTCAGGCATATTTATACTCAGGACTATGTTTCTACATTGGCTCTGACCCCATTATTGATTAAGAAAACTATTGGTTTAGTAGCTTTCATGACATTCATGTTGAGGCCTTTGGATGACCTTTAACCCTTGTGTGTTCACTTTTGACCTGAGTCTGAGAACGTGCATCCATGGGAGATGAAGGATCTGGAAGAAGTTACATGTAATGCTAAGTTTATTTGTAGCAAATGTTTTGATTAAAGTGGTGAACTAGTATAAGTGTACATATCCCTATCTGTCCTTAATTGTAGAACCTGTGTAGCTCATGACTGAGCTTCAGCTTCTTGATATATGGCACTTTTGGAGGCCTTCTCTGAGTTTCATAAAATAGAACATGGTGGAGGGGAAACTGTAAAACACCTGAGGAGATTGAAAGATAGTCACAGTACCAGGAAAACCACCATGGCATCCTTCTCTTCACTCTCCAGCCTCTCCACCACCCTCATGTACCTCTTGTTTAGAAGGGTATAGGGTCAGGTCTTCTCTTTGGAAGGACCTAGAGATCACACTCTTTCTGGCTGTTTTTACCTATTGCTGTTGCAGATTGGCCATTAGGAGAAATGAATTCTGACCCTAGCTTTGTTATGTGAATAATGTCACTGGGACAGTCTGTGCAGATTTCAGAGCCACCAAATCAAGGTATGCTATGTGCCCTCTCACTTCAGAACTGGGTTGAGTGTTGGAGAGGAAATGTGTATAGCAGGTCTTAGATCCCACCAGCACCAGCTTTGGGAAGAACAAAGTGCCATTTCTCACACTTGCGCCACTGAGTCCACGTAGATATCACCTTCATGTCAGCTGTGGAGCTTAGCCCGGTGTAGAATTACATTACAGCCTTTCTCCCGTTGTTTCTACCTGCTAATTCTGAACAATAATGGTGGACAGAGTCATAAGGGATGCATGGACCCCACGAAGGGACTATGTCTGCTGCTGCAGTGTGTGCCCTCTGGAGCATGCCTGTGATGCAAGGCCCTGCTGGGCCAATGAGGCTGTCTTAGCGTGGAAAGCATGTTCTTCTGAATGGCGAGAAATGGAGCCTCGTGGATGTTGGGTGTTTGGCCCTGTGGCTTGGGCTTTCACAAACTGTTTGTGTTGTAGCTCTGCTGTGTGATCTGAAGGTTCCCCGCTGGGATTTCCAGACTGGGAGGCAGTTACGCACATCTCCTCTCTATGACCGGCTGGATGCACAAGGAGCCAGGTGGATGGAGAAACATGGATTTGAGAGACCAAAGTACTTTGTGCCACCAGACAAGGGTAAGAAGGCCCATCTTCTCTCTTGTTCCGAGAGTCAAACTTTATTTTTTTCTTTTTAAAACATATTTTACACCATTACTCATTTTTGTACAGTGTTTGCTTTCTAAAATACTTGTATTTATGCAGACAGGAACTGGTGAGTAGACTAGAGATGTGGGGTGTAAGAGGCTTCACCAGAGACAGAGTGGGGAGCAGAACAGGCAGATCTATGAAGTACCCTGCTGAGGGGAGCAGTGGGTGAGACAGGAGAGGTCTGCTGTGCCTCGTGCGCCACCTCCCTGTCCAGGGATTGAACTCAGGACACAGAGGAGACAGCTCTTAGACTTAACCCCTAGACCAGTAAATAAAAATAAAATTAAATTTTAGGCCCTCCTTGGTGGCGCAGCGGGTTAAAGCACTGCACTGAGAAGCTAAAGCCACTTCCACATGAGTTTGATCCCCGCCTGCCCCGGAGGTGACCACATGGCGTGGCAGACCTCTCCTGACCCGCCCGCTGCTCCCCTCAGCAGTGTACTTTGTTGATCTGCCTGTTCTGCTCCCCGCTCTGTCTCTGGTGAAGCCTCTCACCGCCCCTGAGCCTCTGGCCTGTACCCCAGTTCTGTATGTACAAATAAATAAATCTTTAAAAAAAAATAAAATTAAATAAAATTAAATTAAATTTTAAATGTATAGAGCTAAAACATGTTCGTGAAAGTATAGTTAACACAAACGCTTACGTTATTCTAAACTGTACAGTATAAACTCCCTCCTTTTGTCTCTTTGCTGTTCTGTTCTGTAGACCTCCTGGCCTTGGAGCAGAGCAAGACTTTCTATAAGCCAGACTGGTTTGACATTGTGGAGTCTGAAGTCAAGTGCTGTAAGGAAGCTGTGTGTGTTATTGACATGTCCTCTTTCACAAAGTTTGAAATAACAGTAAGTGTTTGGGAGTCAAAGTAACAGATTAGGAAAACTGCATAATTATTGACTGCATCCTGGTTTTCATCTGTCACTTCAAAACTGATTCTCTTAAGAACTTTGGAATAATTTAGTGTTTTACCAGTATTGTACGCTATTTCTAAACTTTTAGCTGCTTCTTGCTCTTAATCTCTTGGCAGAGGCCCATATATTATTATAACCTCTAGCTAGTGTTCCCTGGTGCTTCTCCAAGTGGCCCCACGCAGATCGTGCTGCCCAAGTACCTGCTAGTTGAATTTTCTCAGGAGTTGCACTGCCTGTCAGGCCACACTGCCCAAATGCTCTAATGCTCACTCTGCGCTTTGTTCCCTGACCCTGCAGTCCACTGGGGATCAGGCCTTAGAAATCCTGCAGTACCTCTTCTCCAATGACCTGGACGTGCCGGTGGGCCACATCGTGCACACTGGCATGCTCAACGAGGGTGGCGGCTACGAGAACGACTGCAGCATAGCTCGGCTGAACAAGCGCAGGTGAGGTTGGCAGCTGCCTGCGCTGCTCCCTTGGTGCTGGATTCTGGGGTGCTGTGGCAGAGCAGAGCACCCAGATCGCTTCTCCAGGGAGTCATAGCTAACCCACTGGGAGAAGATTCTTTACGTTAATTGGCCTGTGTAACCTCTGGGTGCTAACAGGAATCCAGAATCTTCTATTTGGAAAGTATATCCTGGAAATTGCCTCCCCCAAAAGCTGAGTTGATTTGCCAGTGTTCTGCCCAGGGCTTTGAAACCAGCGGAAGACTGGATCGCTTACTGGTCCTTTTCTACTGCCTGGTTTTGATCACTTTTGGGTCTCACTTTCAGTTTCTTCATGATTTCTCCAACTGACCAGCAGGTCCATTGTTGGGCCTGGCTTAAAAAACACATGCCGGAAGACAGCAACCTGCTTCTGGAGGACGTCACCTGGAAGTACACTGGTAAGTGGGTCTCTGGGTTCAGCTGGGCGAGAAGAGGCGCTGGCCCATCCAGGCTGGTCTTCTCTGTTTGCCTTTCTCATTCTGATACTCAAAAGTGTGGTTTAGAAAACTGTGATTCTAGAAAACTGGTCTCTAATAATTCCCCCACATTTTATAAGTCAAGTGCAAATGAATGTTTCAGCTTGCTTGTTCACTGCTAAACAGCTACAGCCAACATGTGAGAAGTCAGATCATTGTTGAATGAGAATTCACTTCACCATCGCTTCATATTACCTATCCCGTAGCTTTTTAAAACCAAGTAATTTTCAAGGCTGACTTCATGCTTCCTCTTTAGTCCCGCTGAGGAGCCAGCCTTCTACCCTGCCACTCCAGCTCTCACCCCCAGCTGACTCCTGCCCCTCACCCCCACCAGGCACTTGTTCTCAATTAATTGCAGCAGGAACTGACTTCTGGCTTATTATACCAGATTGGTAAACTACAGAATCTTATTGGACCGAAGTTGTTTGCTGGCTCAAGCTGCTGTAACCGGCGTGACAGAATGCAGGGTGCCGGCAGTACTCCTCGAGTGTTCCCTTAGGTCCTGGGTGTGGGGTTGGAGCTTTTGCCGTAAGGTCCACAGTGGAAAGAGGAAGGAAAAGGAGACTGTACAGAGGGTTTCTTGCCAGTCCTGGAAGTGGCTCCTACCGTGTGCCAAGACTTGGTCTCACGATGCCTGCCTGCCTGTGAGGGAGTGCTGGATGCTGTTTTCCACTGGATCCAGCAGTCAGAGCTGCACTGGGCAGCCTGTTGGGAGCAGTGTGTGTGCCGTGTCCAGACTTGAGCCCTTGACCAAGGGATGCTTTCACTGTCTGCCACCATGCAGGCCTGCACGCAAGCGCAGAGCAGACCTTCCACTCAGCACTTCACTGCAGAGGCCACACAGCTCTCTCTCTTTCCCATGTAGCGCTCAATCTGATTGGTCCTCGAGCTGTGGATGTGCTGTCCGAGCTGTCCTATGCCCCCATGACTCCAGAACACTTCCCGAGTCTCTTTTGCAAGGTGGGTGCTAATAAAGTTCTAGTGTTCAAACGAACAGGGAATGTTTATTTTATAGAGATGGCAATTTTTATTATTTTTTAAAAGATTTATTTATGTATACAAGAGTTGGGGTGCAGCCCAGAGATGCAGGGGGTGAGAGAATTCACCATAGACAGAGTGGGGAGCAGAACAGGTAGATCTACTGAAATACACTGCTGAGGGGAGCAGCAGGCGAGACAGGAGAGGTCTACTGTGCAATGTGTATCACCTCCCTGGCTGGGATCAAATTCATGCTGCAGTGGCTTAGAGATAAGCCACTAGATCGCTTGATAGTGCTGAGACTTTAACCCCTGCACCACCAGGGAGATCCAATTACTTGTTTTTACTACGCTGTAAATACCTAGAGTGCTAACTTATGCAAACAAAATGATTGGATAAATTATTTCTTACTCTTCAAGATATCCTGACTTAATGAGCATTAGGATTTCTTGGAAGTGAATTTAACTTCACTGAATATCAATTTTGTATTTTTATTGCTTTCTGTAACAAAAAAGCTTTATTACAGAATTATTATACTGATGCCCAAAAACACCAGTCAAGGCCCAGCTTCCCTTCCTGTTCCCCATATACAGAGTAAATTCTGTGCATGGGCATCACCAGGCAAAAAAATGGCTTAGGTGAATCTACACAGTTTACATAATTTTCTTTCTTACACTTTGCTATAGCTGAGTGTAACAAATTGTAATTGAAGGAAAGAAATGACAGCTCCCTCTAGGTGTGGCTGAGAGTGATGAGGACATAGGTTTTGGCCCTGTAACAAGCAGCCTAAGGGCCCTTACTGATGGAGGTGCTTAGACATTCAAAGCAAAGTTGGGATCCACCTGCACTTCGCGTTTACACCTTCTGTTTTTTTCCCCCGGCAGAGTGAATGCAATAGGACGTCTCACAGTTCACTGCCAGCGGACCCTTCACAGCACTTGCTTTGCTTTTTGCAGGAAGGGTCCACTTGCTGGTGCTGCAGAGCAGCTATTCTGCTGGGTTCTCATGGGCACTCCTGGGGTTTAACTGCTTTCCATTAGAGGAGTAGCTGCCGGGACCATGGCCCTGAGCTGCTGTAGGTACCTGAGCTGCTGTAAATACACTTTGTACATTAGATCCTGGTTGCAGGTGAACTGTATTCTGTGACCATGGGCCGCCTCTTTGGAGGGGGGATGCCCAGGGCTTGTCTGCTAAGTCTCCCAGAGACAACAGCGGCTTGGTCTTTGTTCACAACATGCTGAAGTAAATCTGTAGCAGGACTTTGCAAAAAGAAATACTTCATGCTTGTTAAAGATTTTGTCTCCACTTCCTACCAGCAGCTTGGGAAGTACTCCTGACACACAAAGTTCCTGAGAAGAGATGTGACCCCACTACCTGGAAACAGGACTTTTGAGAATAGAGTTCTTGATTTACTGTTTCCTTACCTAGTGGCGGGTCAAACACAGGTGCAGAGCTCATCAGAGGGATTTGCCTCAGCGTATTCCTTTGACAGCACTTTGCGTGCCCACTTCCCCTGAAGTTTCCACACTTTCTCCCTGTCTTCACCCACAGGAGATGAGTGTGGGTTATGCCAACGGGATCCGGGTGATGAGCATGACACACACGGGAGAGCCAGGATTCATGCTTTACATCCCCATCGAGGTGAGTGTGGGAGGAGCCCAGCCAGCTCTGCCCAGAGCATGGCAGGGACAGGTCTGTCTGGGCAGACCAAGGCAAGTGATGCGGGTTGTGTTCAAAAAATTTTTACACCTATAACTTTTGACTGTTTATTTGAACAGGTTGTGTATTTACAAAGTTTAAAAATTAATCATTGCCGCCTGATCAGTTGGTGCCTCTCACCGCCAGTGATGTTTCTGTTAGTCTCTGCCTGTCTGTATGTCTAAGTTCAAGGACATTTGTAATCCTGTTTTTACTATTCCATAGTTTGCTGAATCATATTTAATCATATAACTGAATCATGATTTAACCAGCCTGGTACTAATGCACAAAATGTTTTTTATTTATAGTAAGTGTATACAGTTTTCAAGCTTCAGGGGCAAAGTACTTTGCTCATACAGTTTCCATTTCCCTTATGCATAAGATGGAGCAGTTTTTCAAAACCCCCCTTTCAAAGTACAAACCCATCTACAAGGGCTTCCAGTCTGCCTAGCCTGGATCTGATCTGTCTTCTTTACCTCTTTCTCTTGGCCAGTCTGTGAACATGCTGGATAGTCCGTGCTCAGGTGGTGCTAGGCGCACAGCCACACCTGCTTTAGGCCTCAGATCACCTTCTCAATGAGTTGTAATTCTCCTCAACCCCCTCCCTGTCCTTTCTGCATTCTGCTGATCATAGTCTGATATTTTCTTTATTTTGGCCATGAGATTACCTCTTTTGAAAAGTTAAGTTCCCTGAGGGCAGGGATACCTGTCTGTAAAGTTTCATCTCCTGGCACTTAGAGGACTACTTAGTGTACTTAGTAAATGTTCAGTGATTCACGGTGAGTTTCTTTTATCCGTTTTTTTTTTTTTTTAACTAATTTAAATCAGTCAGTCACTGATGTGGAATTGTACAATTTCCCCCCACCTTTGTGTTTAGATTTTTTTTTTCCTACCAAAGGACAATGTCGCTGAAATTTTGTTTTTCTCATTATGTAATTGAACTGATCAATGTTTTGTGGCTCTGGAGTTTCATACATACAAGTGTCTTCCCTAATGGTGGGTCTGTAACATTTCCCAGTCTTCACTTGGTGCATTCAGTTTCTGTTTATGGTTTGGTTTCTTAAAAATGTTGAAATGCTCCATCCTTTAAGTGTCTCTTGGTAAACTTTGAAAATTCTTTTTTCCTACTTGGTTAATCATTTGACTTGAAATTATACTGTTACAAAATATTAAATCCCCATATGTTTTGGGCTTTTTCTGGACTGAGGTGGTGCTTCTATAGTCTACTCTTCATTAACGAAGTAACACTTTTAATTGTTGAGTCTTAACGTATTTGAATAGTTTAGTAGTGCTTATCCTTCCTCATAGCTTGGAAGATCCTGGAAAAGGACAAGTTCCTGTTTTCCCTTGTAAATTTTATGAGTTATGAGAACAAGACATACTTTGATGGCATACTTGGATTCGGTTAACATTTATGTGTCAGGGAGAACTGATGTTCTTATGATGTATTGAATCTTACACAGAAGATCTTTTTTCTTTAATAACTTATGTATTTTTACATTTTTCCCCCCCAATGTTTGCTTTCTTTTCTCAGGTGTAGTCCTCATACAATTTCTACCACCAATTCAAACATGCACCATCACCATAGTTCTGTGTTCTTCCTGCCCTCATTTTGATCCTTCTTCCCTGCAGAATGACTGATTTATAGCTGTCTGTTTTTGTTTTTTTTACTTCCTGTTCCCTTCTTTGGTTCCCCTACATTCCTCCTGTAAGTGAAACCATCCAATATCTTTCTTTTTCCTTCTGGCTTATTTCACTGAGCATAATCCCGTCTAGCTCTTTACATGCTGCTATGAATGGCATTAGTTTATCTTTTTTGATTGCTGAATAGTACTCCACTGTGTATATATACCACATCTTCTTCTTGACCCAGTCATTTACTTTTGGGAATTTGGATTGAGAACCTTACACAGTAGATTTGCTTTTCCTTGTTCAGCACACTTAGATTAAAGCAGAGTACCACATGCAGAAGCACAAATAAATCATTTTTGAAGATCTATAGGAAAAAATTTTGCAACTGCTCGCTACACAGCCCGAATTTGATGCTGGTTCCCTGAGAGTTCTGCAGTTTGGTCTTCCATCTTCAACTTAACAAAATCCCAAACTCAACTAAATTGTTCAGTTTTTTTTTTTTTTTTAGAACCAATAAGCTGTAACTGTCAAATGACTAGCAGTAACATAGATCTGAATGATTCTAGTACTTCCAAAAATGAACTGGTGCCATCTGCTGCAAAAATGCACCATGGCTTTTCTGACAAGCCAATAGATGGAAGCTGCCAAGTCTTGTGTTTTAAAAACCTTTCCCAGCTCTCACTCCTGAGACAGAAGAGGCACCAGCCCACAGGCCTGAGTTCTGGCCTGAGGATTATGTGCCCCCCCCCACCCCCAACTCCAGTGTTTCTGGTGGAATGAGGTAAGTGCTGTTGCATGGTTTTCTCCATATAGGCCTTGTGCATTGAAGGGAGACACCTCCTTCCCCACCCAGCTTCCGTGCCCGCCTTCACACCACCAGACAAGCTGAGGCCTGCTCACTGCTAACTATTCTCTCTCTCTCCAGTACGCCCTGCACGTGTACAACGAGGTGATGAGTGTTGGGCAGAAATACGGGATCCGGAATGCTGGATATTATGCACTTCGTAGTCTCCGAATTGAGAGGTTTTTCGCCTTTTGGGGTCAGGATCTGAATACCCTCACCACGCCGCTGGAATGCGGACGAGAGTCGCGGGTGAAACTGGAGAAGGTACTGTGCACCCAGTGGCTCTACCGTTACTCCTCCACTTCACAAGCAGTGAACCTACATTAAAAAAGAAGGAAAAGTGTAAAACTGTTGTGGCCCACTGACAGCCTCTGGCGAATGTAGAGTAGGATGTCCTCAGGACACGAAAATGTAAATGGACAGTGTTTGTCTTGAGCATGTCCCTCTATCAGACAGTGCTTTCTGGGAAGTTCTGAGTTGACTGTGAGTTGTTAACATGCCACAAATACTTGTACAAATCAGTCCTATGTTCATTCAGCTGCCTTAATTTTTTTTCTGTCCAAGAAGACTGTGGGTGAAGTCTCCTACCTCTGAACCCCTAACTTCTGCCAACTTTGCCAGAAGTAGGCATTTGTTTTGTGTTAGAGCCTCAGGGTGGCACCAGCAAAGGTCAAGTGACTAAAGGCCAGATGGTTAGGGTGTGTCTCCCCCACCTCTTGGCACTGTAGCCAGTGCTCCTGGTCGGCATGATAGAACCTATGATGTTCTTTGCAAGCTACTGTTTGTATCTATTCAGAGATCATTTATCCTACCCTCTGCTTTTTGTACATTTAAGTTACAATTTCTTTCCTACTTTTTGTCCTCTGATCTTGGAATTGAAAATCCTTTTGGAAAATATGTGTCCTTGTGCATCACAAAACTTCTCTAATGGTGTCTTAGACTGTGAACACGGTGGGAAAGCAGCACTGTCCCCAAAGCTGGTGTGGCGCAGGGGACACAGCAGTGGCTGGTGCTCCTGGGCCCACACTGACCTGCCTTTCTCCTCTAGGGCATGGACTTCATAGGCCGAGAGGCCTTGCTGCAGCAGAAGCAGAACGGGGTATACAAGCGCTTGACGATGTTCATCCTGGACGACCATGACACAGACCTGGACCTCTGGCCCTGGTGGGGGGAGCCCATTTACCGCAATGGGAGATATGTGGGCAAGACCACCAGCAGCGCCTATGGCTACACTCTTGAGCGCCACGTTTGCCTGGGCTTTGTGCACAACTTTTCTGAAGACACCGGGGAAGAGCAGGTAGTGACAGCAGATTTCATCAACCGCGGAGAGTACGAGATTGACATTGCCGGGCACCGGTTCCAAGCCAAAGCAAAGCTCTACCCTGTCCCCTCTCTGTTCACCTATAAGCGCCGAAAGGATGATGTGGAGCTAAGTGACTTGCATGGGAAGTAACGTGAGAGGCCTCCCCCCGTACCCCCACCTTCCTCATGGTCTTAGTTTCCTCCTCCTTGAGGACCTTTCTTGGTTTGTCCTTTGCCCTCATCTTTTTTTCTCCTGGATATAATTTTGAACTTCACCTACTTTTAAACTTTGCTTTGCAACCCCTTGTCTTTCCATCTCCTCTCCCCTCTTGTAGCCCCCCCAGCTCCTCATCCAGACTCTGCGCTGTTCTTGTTCCTCCCTGCTTCCTGCCTTCCATAGTACTGGGGGGTAGGACAGGTGCAAGCTGCACCTGTGGAAGCGGGTGCCGCAGCGGCCTGGTTCCAGGTGCTGTGCGTCTAGGGCACGGGAGGCTGGTGGTGTGTGGGCCTTGGGGAGTGACCTCTTCATTTCGGAGGGTCATGGTGTGTGAGCTTGTGCCTTTCAGCCAGCTCCGCCATCCTGTTCCTCTGTGCCCTGAGCTGGCACCTTGTACCTCTAGATTGTGGGACGGCCATCTACCTCGCCATGGGAGGTGTCACGCTGACTCGCATCTGGTCTGCAGCAGAGACGATCTGCCGGGCACCCTCCCTTGCCTCCTTGCTGACCCGTGTTGGGCCAGGGACACTGCCTGTGATTTTTTGCTCATCTTTTGATAACCTCTGGAAAAAGGGATTAATGATTAATGCCTAGGTAAGGGGTTGTATTGAGCTGGGTAAACAAGCCACAGTATGTGGAAGGGGGAAGCCATGCTGCCTTCTGTTCTGCGCTCAGCTGCAGTGGTCTTGCTTCAGAAAGGTTACCGCCAGCAATCCTGAGTGTCCTGTTAATACAGTGCTGCTTCTCTTTGTCTTTTTTAGTTCAGCCTCACCTGCTCCTTCCACACCAGGCCCACGAGCTCAGCATCCGTTTCCCTCCCTCTGTCCTGGCCAGGGAACTCACCCCCGCTGGCTGGGCTGGTGCTGGAGACCCAGTGCTGCTTCCTCCAGCCCAGAGAGACCTGTTCCAGGTTCTGGGCACAGTTTGCATCCTGGCTTCTCTCTCCCACATCTCTCCACGTCTTAGGAGAACCCTGCACTCTTCTTTGTCTCTGCTTTCTATGACTGCGACACTGTACTTTCCATCCTAGCACAATCTCCCCTGTGCTCATCCGACAGTTGCTCATCCAATGGCAGACAAGCTGCTGTTAAGATTTTTACTAGCTGAAGTATTAGCTCTGACAGATCCTTTCATTTTATTGGTGCAGCTTAAAATTCTCAGGTATCTACCTGCTCTGGCAGTTGGAATTTGTTCGCCCATTTCATCACATTGGAGTCTCTTGCCATTTCCGCAACCCAACTGCCTCATCATTCACTTTAGTGTCCTCCCTTGTAAGATTACGGGAGCCCCTCTTCTGGGATGGATGTGTGTTTAACTGGCTGAGCCCAGCTGCTTCTGGCGAAAATTAGAGCAGTAAGGGTCTGGGGAGAGTAGGAAACCAGGTAGGTTCAGCAGGTATGATTGATCTGTGCTGGACACATGGAGGCAGGTGGCCGCATTCCGCAGAACGCCCGCGTCGTCTCTGTTAATGAGACACACTCCAAAGCAGTTCCTGGCCAGTGTCAGTCATGGGCAGGGTCCCATTCCTAAGACAGGCACGATGTTTATCTGCTGGGACATCCCTTGCTTGAAACACACGTTTATCTTAGCACTTCAAAGTTCATCTTCTGCCAGGCAGTGTGGATTTGGTGTTTTTCCATCTTTGGTCTTAAGATCTATTTTCTATATTTAGACCAAGTGACACAACTTCTCCATTTGGGTGGTTTCTGTATCCAGGGTATGACACTCCATGTTTGCTTTCTCATGGCTGTCCGGGGACCCGGCCTGTCATCTTCTAGAGAGCTAAGAGCCTCTGAATGCTTCTCTAGAAATGATCCATTACACCTGTGCTCTCTCAGAAACCCTCTAATCACACACAGGCCCACTGTTTCTACTGTTCCTCAGGGAGCGCTTGGGCCCTGCAGGGGAGCAATGGTGTCCAGGCTGGGTAGCCAGAGACCAGTCCTCCCAGTTCTGGATCTCAGTTTCATATTGTCCTGTTTCTGCAGTGGTGGAGCCTGGTCATTGTCACATCTGATCACACCACCTTGCACAAACAATTTTCTGTGCTCTCCTTTCTTGGGTTATTTCCAGGAAAGTAAACTCTGAAAAATAACTCCAGCCTTCTCTGCGATCCTGCCTTTATGTGCACTGGACTTGCCAGGCCTTGCCCGCTGCTGCCACCATGTAAATGGAGGGATGACAGCAGCTTTTGAGAACTGGTTTGGTCCCTGAAGACAAGCCCCAGCCGAGTGCTCGCTCTGCACATGGACACCAGCTGCAGCTGATGAGCCTCCACCAAGGCAGGGGAGGCAGCAGCCAGGGGGGTGGGAGGGTGGGTGTTGTGACCAGATTCATATCTAAATCGCTCTGCTGTGGGGCGAGTGTAGGCAGCAAGGACTCCCTACTATCAAAGATTGTCAGCAATACTTAACTCTCCTTCCTGCACATGCCAACCTACTCCCCCCCGGCCCCCCAGCCCAGAGCAAACTCTATAAGCAGCATTTTCCCAACCCAAGATGGGAGATTTTCTCACGAGTGAAACACCTCACACCGGGCCTTTGTGGGGAAGCAGCAGAAGAGGAGCATTTCGGGTGACCCGCATCTGTAGTAAGTGTAAGCGGGTGAGGGTTGGTTGGCCCCCCACAACCTCCATTTACGGTGCTGAGTTGTCAGGCTCCTTCACTGTCATTCGGGGTTCGCATCTGCAAGCCTTCCTCACTACAAATGCACTATTTTTCAAGAGCAGTGAGTATTTTTGTATGTCTTTGCCATCATTCTGTCCATTAAACACCAGAGTAGTTCCTTGTTAATGATTCTGCACTTCTCAGCATAGAGCCTCCCTTAATGAACTAACACACATGTTGTGGGCCATTTTTCTCATGATAGTTAGATGCACCTGTTTTTTATCCTTTGCAGACCTCCTGCCTCCTTTTTCTGTCTCCCAAGGACAGAAATGACAAGAGGCGGGAGGATATTTTTAGCATCTGTTCCTAAAGCTCTAGCCAGGATTTCCTTTGCACACAAAGAGCTGGGAGCGCCTTCTCCAAGCCCGGTTCCAGTGCCTTACCCCCCAGAACGCAGCGGGCTGAGAGAGGAGGGCAAACAGGAGGAACATCATTTCATCCTGGCGTCCCCATCCACCTCACAGCCGCTGCTGCCCGGGGAAGGTGCAGGGGAGAAGGCCCCCACAGCCCTGTCACTGAGGGGTTTCCTGGCCACACACTGCTCCTTCCTCCCTGGCCAGCTCTAGGGCTGTCTGGGATGCCGCAGCTCATGCTCCGTGTTGACAAAGCGCGGCCCTTTTCTGTGCTGTGTAGAGCGAGTGTCTGGTCCTGAGGACACCGGCGGCCCTTTCGTCCACGGAACCCTCTCTCCAGGACACAGGGTGACTGGCCCCTCGCCCTCCGGGGAGGCAGTCCTAACACTGTGCCCTGCTCCCCCTTCCCGCCATTCTCTCTCCCTGTCACTAGCTTGTAAGTAAATAAACATTGCACCTGCGCCTGCCGTGTCCCCCTGTGAATGCCCACATCTGTGGTCACCTGGTGTGTGTGTTCGCTCCCAGGGAGCTCGGCTTTGTACAGAACCCTGAGCATCTGTCCGACAAAGTGTAAAAGAAGTTGGAGACAGTAGAGAAGATGGGCCTGGGCGCCTGTGGCGTGGCTGGGAGAGGAGGCCTTGTCCCTCCTGCGGTGACAGCCACTATCCCTGGAACCTAAGTACCAGGTTGGTGTGACAAACTAGGGCATGTGCCCATACCTGTGGCTAGAGTGCATTATCTTTAGTGAAGTACCAATGACCATTGAGCTTCTATCTGCAAATTGTCACTGGGGTTTATATTGTTTCCCTAACGGATTTTGACAGCTGCATGTGGGACTCCCAGAGACTAATAATCCTATTGTCTCTCCCTATCAGGAGTGAAATCTCCCTAAGAGAGAGAAGTGGGAGGGCTTAAGAGAGAAGGGAGGAAATAGAAGAGAGATCCAGGGAAGTGAGATTGAGATGAGGGGGCAGATGGTGAGAGAAATGGAAGATACTGAGAAAGATGTGAATTGATAATATGCGTCTTCTCTCCTGTCCTTGAGGACAAGAAGATAAAGAAGACAGGGAGTGTGGGCAGACAGGGAAGTAAGATAGACATAGAAGAGGGGAAAAAAGAGAAGCAGGAGAGAGGAGAGTTGACAGTAGGTAGATATTTGAGAAATGGTGAGGAGAGATGGGGAGGAAAGGACAGGTGGATACAGACTGATGGAAAAAAGTGGGAGATGAGTGGAGACAGAAGGCGGTCTCTGAGGAAAAAAGGGCACGTGTGAGGACAGCTGAGAAGAAATACAGAAAGCAGAGATGGAGAAACAGGTGAGAGTGGGGAGAGATGAGTGCGAGTTAGAGACTGAAGTGACAGGAGAGACACAACAGAATATGAAGGGAAATGAGGTGAACTAAAGTGCTGAGTGGGAAAAGGCACCCTCAACAGATGTGACAGCAGTGACACAAGAGTGTGAGAGAATAGAACTGGAAAGGGGGAGAGGAGAAATACAGAGCAGATAGAAGATATGGGAAGCTAGCAAAGAGCCATAGAGAAGGAAGGAGGTATTACAGAGATGGAAGGAAATGAGAGCAGGGGGAGAATGGTGGGGATGATAGGGGAGGGGAGAAACAGCAACACAAGTTAGACAGGAGAGGATGGAGAGATGCAGAGGGGAAGAAGAAAGTGAAGAGTTGAGAGGTGAGAATGAGATGGAACAGGTGAGAAGACCACAAAGATGGAAGAGAGACTGGAGACTGAGCTCTGACCGGAGATGTGGAAGACTGCAAGATCGGCGAGAATAGATGCACGGAGGTGAGGTACTGGGGTAAGATAGGGGAGAGAGAACTAGAGGGATCACAGGGATGTCGAGAGGAGAGACAAGACACGGAGTGAGTAGATGGGCAGAGGAGGAGAGAGAGAGAAAAGGCATGAAGTAGATAGAGACAAGTGAGAGAGACAGGAAAGAAATACAAGAAATGAGAACAGACAGGCGAGAACGAGATGAAACAGAACAAGGACAGATGGAGTGAGACAAGAGATTAAAAGAGAAATACAGGGAGAGAGAAAAGGAATTCTGAGAAAAGCAATGTGGGAGAGAGAACACAGGAGAGATGGGGAGACAGGAAGAAATAGAATGGAGAGCTAGAAGTGAGAGCAGATGGTGAGGGAGGAAAAAGAAATACAGATAAGAGGGGTGAGGTAGAGAAGAGAACACATGGAGGAGTGAAGCGAGAAGAGCACTATGGAGAGGAAAGTTAGATGGAGGGAGAGCAGAGAAGGCAGGACAGGGGTGCGTAGGAGACGGAGAGGAGGGAAGTGAGAGCAGCTGAACAAGAGTGACAAGCAGAATAGAGAGCTGGAATGGGGAGGAGAAAGGTGAGATAGAAACGTGACAGAGAGCAATAGGAGAGGATATAGCAAGAAGGAAGAGAAGGGAGGAAACAACAGAGAAGAGGGAAAGATCAGCATGAAGAGATTATGGAGAGGGGGGAGAAAGAAAGAGGAGGTGGGAGACAGGGAAATATGAAAGGAGAGAAGGGAAGTAGAGAGAACATGAAGACTGATGGGAGAGAGAAGAATGAAGAGAGGTGAGGCGATACAGCATGGAGAAAGAGTAGAGGGGGAGAGAGTGATACAAGAATGGAGGGGAGAGAAGAGGGGGGAACAGAGAGACAAATACGAAAGAAATGGGTGATAGAAGAGTCAAATATCATAAGCAGAGATGACAACGGAGAAATGTATCTACCACTCAACAGAAGCACTGAAGGTGAGGACAGGTGAAATACACACAGATGAGGAAGGAGATGGGAGTGACAGCAGTTGTGAGATCAGAGATGAGAGGGGCAGGAGAGCATAGAGTGTGCAGAAGAGAGAAGAGAAACATGGGAGAATGATTAGAGAAGACATAAAAATGAAGATGGGAGTGAAGGGAGAGAAGAGACAGGTCAAGAAGACAGTGCTACAGAGAGGGCTGGGGGGAGAGACCCAGACAGTAAAGATACAGGTGAGAAACAGGGGAGATGAAAATTTGTAGAAAGACTGAAAAGAGATACAAAAGAAGAGACAGATGAGAGACAGTAGAGGACAGGAGTCAGGTGAGGGGATGTGAGATGTGAGACAGGGAGAAAAGAGACAGATATTGAGTGAAGACTGACTGGGGAGGAAAGACAGGTGTGGGGGAGAGAGGAAGCCAAAGGGAGATAGGAGATAAGTCTACCAGCTAAATCCCATCTAGAGGAGAGGAACAGGCAGGGGAGGAGAGAGTTGGGAGAGAGAAAGATACTGAGAGAAGTGGGAGAGATGGAATTGAGAGGGGAATGAGATAGATTTGTGAGAGGTGGAAGACAGGAGAAAGGGAGCAATAGATGAGAGAGGAAAGATAAGATATGCAGGTTAGGACAATTTTGGAGATAGAGAAGGGAGAGAAATGGGAGGGATAACGAGGAAAGCTGAGAGATGAAATGGGAGAGAAAGGAGTGATGGGAGTTGAATGAGAGTTGGGATAGATGGCAGAGAGATGACAGAGATGGAGTGATAAAGATATGAAGATAGTGGAGATGAAGACATGAGAGGTGGGAAAGGAGGGGGAAAGACATGGGAAAGAGAACAAAGACATAGGACAGATAGGTTGGGAGAGACCGATGGAGTTAGGAACTAGAAGTCAGAGAGATGTTAAGAGACACAAAGGGAGGGGAGAGAGAGATATGCAGAAAAGAACAGCTGGGAGAGACAGTGAAGAGAGATGTTGAGGTAGGAAAGGCAAGAGGTAGAGGAGAGAGGGAAAGGGATGAGAGTAGAACAGGGTGATGGAGAGGTGAGGGAGACATAGGATTGAGAGATGGGAGGGAGAGGGCTGAGGTGACAGGAGAAAGAATGGAGAGGAAAGAGATGGAAGCAGTGTTTGGAGAAAGATGGGAGAAGAGAGGGAAGAGAAATGGTGGGGAGAGGAGATTTTGGGGAGATAGGAGCAATGGGAGTGAAGTAGGAGAGAGATAGGAATGAGATACGAAAAGAGATAATAGAGAGAAAGGAGAGATGGGAGACAGATAAAGATATTCAGAGATGAGAATGGACAGTTGGGGCATGGTGAAGTGAGTGATGGGAAAGGAAAGATACAGGGGAGAGATAGATGCAGAGAGGGAGGAAATAGGAAAGAACTGAGAGAGATGGGGAGTAAGTGAAGAGGTAATAGAGATGGCAGGAACAAGGGGAGGAAGAAAATGGGAAAGATAGGGAGTAGAGATATGGGAGACAGGGTGTAAGAGGAGAAAGTTGGCAGTGATAGCGAAGATAAATGGTGAGAA